GATAACAACTATAAAAGATTAACACCCCAGTGTTCTGATACTTTCGAAGGGATTGGAAATGAGCATGTTGTAACGAGAAAGGATTGTTTCCTACAAGACTTAGCTCTACCTTTAGGTAGATTGGATAAAATTAGTGGTATGTTGGAGTCTCAAGGGATCCCAGGCACCTCTTCCCAGCTCTGTCTTCAATGACCTTATATTGGTATCTTGAAATTGTTTACAGTGGGAATATTTAAACCTCAAAATCAAATACAATACCTCAGGTTTCCCACCCACCCAGGTCTGCTTCTTAAAAGATGTTGAGCCACTTGAACTTGACAATATTGGACTCTTACTGGACCTGTGAAAACAGCAACTTCAAGTCTTGGTTTCAAACACGTTAAGCTCCTTTGAGTTACATAAAATTGAAGGCTGGTTTTCAGACACAAGTGTTGTGGATAACAGTTACTATTTTTCCTCTCTCTTAATTCACATATCCTAGCACCCTATAGGAAGGCAAAGATCCTTTCAATTGATTGACAGTTCAAGTTATAAGAACTGGGATACACATACCTGGGCTGTGTCTGTGTATGAAAAGAAAACAATTGAGCCAATTAACTAAACAGTTCAAGTGATAATAAATGTTTTGGCCTCTTGTATCTGAAAAATATAAAAACCAAAATGGTGCGCTGCACATAGAGAGCATAAGAGAGTCTTTTGGTGTGATTAATGGACCCTCTCTGCATTTTGCCTACATGGAAATTCCTATTTGGCTTATGTTTAAGGTCGTCAAGGTAGGTGACTTCATTTTTTTTTTTTTTTTACAAATTCAAATAGCAGTAACATTCAAATAATATTTAATAAGAGTTTCAAGAACAGAGAACATGATTTGTAATGTTTTATCTTGACTTAAGAAATACTTGTTGAAAGTGGTAGACTTTTTTATAGTACACAGCAGGAGCAAATAATGGGTAGTCTTCTCTAACCACTGATGAGAGGTGAATCTTCCTGATTTAAATTAACTAGTGACATTCCTGATTTTTATTTGAAATGGTGTGTTTTATAGTTCTTATGCATGAAACTAATGTCGATTTTGAGATATTTTGATTAAAGTTCTTCCATGTTTACTGTTTAAATGTATTTCTTTGTACATTACAGAATTTCCTAGCCAAAGTGTATCAGTGACATTTCAAAAATTTATCTAGATTATAACATGTTAAAATTAGAGGAACATTGAATATTTCATATACATTTCTTTTAAGAATGTGGGAAATCTCTTTTTTAATAATTTAATTTTCTTTTTTTTTTAAACTCACATTCGCTCTTTTTTTTGGCAGTAGTATCATTTTAATCCCCAAACTGCATTTTCACCGGATAGCTAATATTTTTTGCAAGTAACATTTTGAATTTGTTCTTGTTGACATCTTTCTGTTTACATGCATTTTGCATCGCCCTTATTTTTTTGAAATCCAAATGTAACAAATTTCAACTTTTTGTGTGACATTATTTTTTTTTCTTTTACTGGGTAATATCTCTCTCTCGTCTGATTTTTTTGCAAACCTGTTGTTTTTGAATTCTCTTTTTTCCCTTTATTTTCCTTCTCAATATGACCCAGGAGCCAACACAAAGAAAAACGCAGATGATATAACCAGTAATGACCGTGGTGAAGATGAAGGTATTTTTTGATTTTTCAAAGCTTGATCCTGATGCATGATTTTATATCTATCTCTCTATTTTTTTTTTTTTTTCATTTCAATCTGTTTTTCCTCCCCTTCTCTGAAACAAGTACACTTTGGTGTGCTTCTTTATTTTCTTCTTGTTTGGAAACCACTGTCATTTTTAACCCAAATGACCGTGTAGATGACTACACATCACCTGTGAGAAGACATATAAACATTGTTTCTGAATATGTAGTGAGTAACAAAATGCTGTTTACAAGGAAGCCTGCCGTTTTTCTTTTTCTTTTTCCTTTTTTTTTTTGACTAGGTCACAAGAAGAGAAAATGGAATTTTAAAACATGCATGTATACAATTTCTTTGCTTCCTTCCTAGTGTTATTGTGTAAGTTAATGCTGTATTTTGGAGCTTTGCTCTTCTTAAATCTTTCTATGAACTGCAAAACTCTGTGAGACACCTCGGTACAACTTTTCTGGGAGCTGGTGTTTCAGTGTGTGTTTTTTTTTGAACATACTGATTCCAAAATAGGTTTCAAAGAATCTTCTCTGGCTCACAGTAAAATACATGAAAAAGTGTTTTAATGAGATGTTGTTATTTCTTTCAGGACTGCCTTTTAGCAGCATTTAAAGAAAAATAAATAGGGATAGCAAGGTCAAAAAGCTAGCACTGTGCAACTTTCTTTTCACACCACGGCTATTTCAAAAACATTTTTTCCTCTCAAAAATATTTGGTTGCTATGGAAAGTATCTTCTTGAAGGATCCCATATTGCTTGACAGATTATCCACCAGAAGTAAATTGATTCTTTTTAAAAGATGGAAGATACCTGGCATCTAAGCGACTGCTAACACACTGTATCCTAGTCCTTCAGCAGAATAACTGATTTAAAAGAAAAGAAACAATGTCTAAAATAAGCCTTTGCTGCCGTGAAGCCTCTATAGGATGCGTAAAAGCACATTTCTCCAATCTGAGCAGCAAAATGCATGGAACTCTGTTTCTTTACCTTAGAGGATGAAGGCCCTTGATGAACCTGTGGTTCTCGGGCTGAAAGGCAATTTACAGCAGAGAAGTGAGTAGAGAGTTCGGTGCTGGGCACCAAAATCTCCCTGAAAGTGCCTTTTTATCAGCGGGTTGGTTTTGCTGTCCTCTTTAATTTCCTTCATATATCAGCTGCTCTCAAAGAAAAGAAGTTTTGCCAAAGTTGCTTTCACGCCTGTCTTGTCTTAACGTTATTATTATTTTATTTTTTACCTGCATTCATAGGGCTGTCTCTACCTCTAGTGGCTACCTAAGAGAGCTCTTTGGATGGTGTTCGAATATCCCCTCCTACACCTGATGCAGTAGCTAGCCTCTCCTTTGGTGTGGGCCCCAGAACACCTGCAATTCTATCAGTACTCAAAAAGATATATATTTTTAAAAACTCTTCTCCTTATTCTCATAAGAGATGGTGTAAACCATCTAAGGATGTAATTTGCGTCTTGCTCTGCACTCTCTTTTTAGCATATTTCCTTTTGATCATTAGGATCTGTTTTCACAACACTCACAATGCAACTTTAGTACCATTAAAATGCCGTCTAGTTTTCATTTGATACCCATAACCTGCATTTTTTTTTAAACTTTGGATTAATATGGCATCTGGTTATTACTTCCTCAAGTTCATGAGAACCTTGTTCTATGTGCCTCAAAAGGTAAGAGATGTTGACCAAACATTTTTTCTGAGCAAACCCCTTAAAGCAGCCCTCAAAATCTTCACCTATTCCTTTTTCACCATGGAGTAGTCAACAGCAGGTTATGGTAAAATAAATAAGGGCAAAAACAGCTAATCAGGGGCCAGAGAGAGAGGTGGATCATGCCAATACCACACCTTATAGAGACAGCAGTTTATTTAAAAATTCCACATAGCGTATGACGAATAAATGACTAATAAAGGATTTTTACCTTCTATTTGAATTTCATATGAGAAAATAAGAGATGCTCTTCTGCTGTGGGTTAACTATCTGCAGACACACGGACAGCTTGACACTCTTTTTCTGTACTTGACTGTGACCAGTGGGTTTCTCCTGATTTCTTTACTCTGTATTGTGACACCTCATGAGCACATTTGATTTTGTGATCATAATTCATTTTATTAGTAGCCACTATCCAAATGATGGTGGTACATTTCCTTAAAATTCCTTTCTGATATATCGAAAGTGTCTCAGTGAATTAGAATAATAAAAACTCCATTGAACAAAAAAGTGAAAATTAATATACATGGGTAAATTTGGTTTTCTTTTGATGACATACAGATACTTAAATTATTTACACACACATACACATACATATATATATGTGTGTATATATATCTCCATAAATTATTATAGTTGAGCTCAGTCTTCTTAAACATTAAATATAAGCCTAGGGAATGATTGATTAACACCAAGTAGGTTATTTCTTCATAACTTTTCAGAAAGCAGGCTTTACAAATGGACAAAGGGTGTCTGAACATTTATCATCACAAACCATTGCGAAATATTATTTTTACATCATTGTTAAATAAAATAATAAAGTAATTGCTAAGAGTACTCATTGGTTGCAAATCACAACCAATATAAACTCCACAGGGAATTTGTATTCCCTGTGAAAATATATAGCATCCATAATTTTATCTTGAGGTTGCAATCAAGCACCACTTTTATTACATCTCTTTCCTTTTTGTCATTTACATATGTTGGGATATTACAACAAGTCAGCCAGAGCAAAAACACTTGCTTGGACATCATTTTTTCTTTTGTTTTCATTTTTACACATTTCTGTTCTGTTGATAATTTTTGACCATTGATTTATTTTTTTGTCACCCTCTGTCCTATATTGAGAGTTTATAGTTTCACTCCTCCTCTTACGTTCCCATCTTTAAGTTAAAAGTGAATCTATAAACTCACCTTTGACTGAAGAGGGCTGTTATAGTAAAAATAAATGATAATTTTGAAGTTGGTTTCACACTCAGTGAAAATATATTTTATAATGGATGCCGTGTGCTTCTTCCATTTCAGTCACCTTTTAGGGTTTGAGCACCGTTTAGGAAATAAGTATCTCATCTAAATCCTTTAATTTTTTAGTGTTTTAGATATATACATACATACCACTTCAAATGTCTATATGCTTCTCAAAATATCATTTCTATCTGTAGAAAATATAACAACGTTGACCATTTTCCTTAGGCAATCTTATCAATGTGTATATAATTCAAAAATAGACATGGGATTGATTCAAGTCAGAACTAGGAAAAGTAAGCAGTGTCCTTTGCCCTTTATTTAGCTAATCAGTATGATTTTTTATTGTATTTCCTTATCTGGCTTTTTTTGCAGACATCCATGATCAGAACAGTAAGAAGCCAGTTATGGTCTATATCCATGGCGGATCTTATATGGAGGGTACTGGCAATATGATTGACGGCAGCATCCTGGCGAGCTATGGGAACGTCATCGTGATAACTATTAACTACCGGCTGGGAATTTTGGGTGAGTGATTCCATCACATACATGACTGTGCGAGAGGCAGTGACGAAGGTCTGCTGTTTACCTTGTTGGGACTCACTGATTAGAATTGTGTTGCTCTGATTCCGAGGAAATTCTACTTCCCAGTACTCACTTCACATGTTAGGATTTGTCTGTTCCTTTTAATAGTTGGATGCACAAAAAATCTGTTTTTTTTGTGCAGTTTGTAATTAGGAATTTTATTTCGTGGAACTCCAATCCCTCCTCAAACAAACACAGAGTCCAAAGTCATCAAATTAACATGAAGTTTTATTTAAAGCACTTTTCTTTCTGTGGGCTGAATGTAAACTTTGTTAGCCAACATAGCTCTGTGGAGTGAACTCGCTTAGGTGGTGTGTATGATAGCATATTTGGCAATGGGTGGTCATTTCGTACAGGCTGATAATGGCCATAGATGTTAGCTTTCTTTTATGGTTGTATAGGTAGATTAATTAGTTGATCGTGTGTAGGAAAATCTTTGACCTAATTTTTTAACTGATTATCTGTGTTTGTTGGGCCTTGAAGAACTGCTGTGTGGTTAGCTGGCCATCGCATTTGCATGCAATGCCACTTAACTCTTATTTGAATTTTGTAACATTTTGTGATTTACAGTTAAAGGACGTTGGCTAACTGCATGGAAATTCATGAGTGGCTCTCCATTGTTTTGATGTTTAATTCATTGTCCTCCAATTGGGGGTTGGAAAAATATATATTTTGGGGGTAATATTTTGAGATTTACCTTCTTTCGTGGTTTTGTCTGCTGTCATACAATTTGTGAATAATGTTCCTTGGCCTATGTAAAAAAAGTTTGTTTTCAAGGCAAAAATGCATTGAAATGGTGCAGAAAATTGAGTTTTTAACAATGTGGTTGTGAGTGAGATGTGTATGTCACAGGGTGGGTACCACAAAATATAAAAAGGACTTACAGAGATCTGTCAAACAAGAAATATGATTGGAAATGTGTTCTCCAAATAGGCAAATATTACCAAGGATAGTTTATTTTCAACTTGATGTTTTAATCTTATCTTGTACCTTTTTTTCATTCACATGTGAAAATATTCACCTATTAAAAAGACCCCGGGGTGGGGGTGAGTAGTAGAAATGTATTTCTAATTGAGAAATGCAAACATTCATAAATGTTTGCAAAATTACGTCTTTTGGAGCATTAATAAAGTACTCGAAATTCTCTGTTGGTTTTTTACATTAAAGAAAATAAAAAGGAGCTTCTCATTTCATGATTTTATTTCTTTTTCTTATTTCATACATTCTATGAGCCAAACCTTTGCAGAGTAATTTCACATAGCAATGATTGCATGCCTCTCCAAATATTTTCCAGAGGCTTCTGGCGAGTTGCTTTAGCCACTAGTGTTTGAAACAGGAAATCGTGTTTCTTGATCTTTTACAAAAGATCCTTTCTAACAAAGAGGTGGGGAGAGGAGACAACATGTCGGGGGGCTGCACGTAGCCCTTTCAAAGCAGGCAGTGTGTTGGACCCTGTGTAGCATCATCAGACAGAGGAGGTGCTCTGGGCTCTGTTTTCTGAATGAAGCATCGGACATTGATCAAGTTCTTGCTTTGCTGGAATAACAAAAATGTTCTCTTGCGTGCATGATGTGTAGATGTTACTTAAAAGGTTAGATTTCAAAAGAAATTGATTTTTTCCCCTCTAAAGCCGAACTGTATTAAGCAACTCTGCACGGCGATCTCTTATCAGTTTGGCCCGTTCATGAATTAAGTACAGATCTGGAAAAGTACTGTGGGAATTATATGCGTCTTAATATTTTTTTAAATAAGGGAAAAAACATTCTTGGTTTTAGAACTTTTCTCCTTGAAAAATTCTAAGTCTACGTTTTGCTACTGAGAGTTAAAGAAAAATCGTGGTAAGATAACAGAGAGCTGTGAGAGAGGTCATAGAGAAATAAAAGAAGCAATTTAGCATCTCTCTCCAGTCTATTTACATCCCGCGAATGAGCTACTGTGGAACCACCGAGAACACTACAGACACCCTTTTATTGGATGGAGTGAAATGTGCCAACTTTGCTGATTATACAAAGTGACGGAGATTTTAAAATGTGACTTAGTTTATCACCATCACAGATCTTGCCTTTGCTGCTGTCCTCTTGGAAACTGTTAGGGAGCGTTTACTTTTTCCTTGCAGGAAATCACTATTATCAGTGTTGAAAAATATTTTTAAACCATCGGCATCCAAATATTTTAAAAGGTGATCAATTAAAATGGCACAATAATCACAGGGATGATCGTTCCAATTAGTGCCTTTGGTATAAATGCATGCGTTTTTAGCAAAACGTTGAAGTATTGGTTGAGTTTTTTCTCCAAAAAGTAATAAATGCATAAATGCCATTTTTCTGTCTGAGGAATGGAAAAATATTGTTTGCGATGATTCTTTTTTTTGCAGAGTAAAAAATGCAGTTTTCCTACCCAAAAGAGAGGGGTAAAAAGAAGAATTATGGTAAAAATGGAAACGGGATGCTGGTGTGGAAAGGACATAAATTTTTAGGATGACACAGAAATGAACCAGCGTCTTCCCTCTACTCCATGTCTGACATTGAGGAAGTCAGCTAATATTTTCTGAGTCCCTATAGACTGTGGTAGCATCCTCTCCTTTGCAAAGTTATTGTACATACAGCACAAATGTATTGTACATACATTATGTATGTGAAGTTTCATAGCCCATGACTGGCAACCAGTACACCCAGTCACCTTAAAATTTCCACTGCTATTAATATCACTGGACATTGTATTAATATCACTTTTGATCCACAGAATTAATTGAAACTGGCCAAATATGTAATAGTTAATATCTATCCAATACTGTCATCCAAACTGAACCACTTTAATTAAAAAGATAGTAATAATTATACGACGCTTGTAATGTGAAATAAATGAGAGGATCTTCGTGCTTGCTTTTCGAAATATGAATCTTTCCTTTAATCAGAACTGTGTGACACAGTCTTCTAGCCATTGACCATATAATTTATTGTCGAATCCAGGACACTTTGAGAGTTATTAATAAGCTATTAATAAGCTGGGATTGTCCCTGGCAAACTGGGATGTGTCATTATAGCTATAAGGTAATTATTTATACCCACATAAGGTCTAATGATTTAACTGCTGTTCCATTTGTTTTCAAAGGAGATGCTCCTGTATCAGCATGTTTCCTATTCGTTCTACTGTACACCTTTGTCATTAGGAAGGCATATATATCCAAAACTTGTGTTCTATCAAATCTGCCTCTTATTTTTTTTTTTCATGATGATTGTCCAAAGACCTTTGATATAAAAGAGAAATCTCCTTACTGTTGGTTACTGATGGAAATACCTGGGATTTATTTATTTGTGGCTCTTACCTCCACTTTCCTCATTAATTGTCTCCAATTTGCATGTCTTTGCATCTTCAGTTGGTTGATTCTACCCCCATTCAGATATTCATTTCAGTTTAGCTCGCATGGTATTACCTTTTGAGTTATCCTACAATTCGATGCCTCATTTATGCTTTAAGTTATTTTTGCTTCAAAATGATCCTCTATATGCTTTAAGACCACTTTATTGAGATCCTGCAGTGTGGCCAGCGGTGGGTTGCTGTATGTGTTACTTCCCTTAATCCTCACAAACTCCCTTGGAAGGTTCACTTATCTTACTTAGAAGGAAACAAAGGCTCGGAGGTGATGGGATGGACTCAAGTGGTACAGCTTGTAGGGATCAGAGCTGGGGTTGGAACCCAGGTCTAACGGAAGCCAAAGAGCTCACCTCCAGCCTTGCCAGTCAGTGTTAAATACGAACCAGGTAAACTACAAAATGAGTTAGGAAACTGAATACCACTTTAGCATCAGGTTTACCTTCTATAGTTGCACAAAAAATATCAGATGTGCTTATTGTTGATCTAGATAAAAAATTGTGACACGATGCTTACAATGTATTCCTATGTTCCTCAAAGTGGGTTCTTCGTTGCTGATTCCTTTTCATTGAATCATTATTGGTAGTCCACTATGGTGCACGATGATGGTGGTATCTGCCCCAACAATGGCATTTGTCACATCAAAGCTCTTGGGCACCATGGATTTAACGCTTTATCATCGAGTTGGGTGTCTAACTGCTAGAGCCCATTCCTTTGCCTGCTTCCTGTCTGTTGCCCTCAAATGGAGTTGAGACCATTGAGCTAAATGGTGACTTCAATGGATGTCTCACCTGATAGGTATTTTGTGATCTTAAGAAATGTTGCCCATAGGTTTACATAACTGACTTTTCCAAGGATTCAAAAAGTCTCAGAAACACCTCCTCATTTTTCAAGTGTTGTAGCTATACTGAAAGTTTTCCTCTCAGGGAAGGTTGTGTAACTAACAGTGTTCTGAAGTTGCCTTTCTCTTGAAGGTCATCCATTGCATACACCCATTTAGGTGCATTGCTCTCGTAACTTTGAATATAAGAGAGAAATGTTTTGAAATAAAAGCAGTCTATACGCAGAGCAGGAAGATTATTTGAATTAAAATCTGCATGACTTGAGCTATATGCATGCTCTCATGGTGTGGCTACCTTTGCTGTTCTGGTCTCCTTTTTGGGGTCTTGGTTTCCATCTGAGATGGAGGGTCAGGGCATTTGGAGGCCCTTTGACATGAGCTAGAGTAGTTTCACTGTTGTCCCTTTAAAATATTGGTCTTCCATGTCAGACTTCATTCAGTAAAAGGAGTCTGGGAATCATTGGAGCTGAGGATTGATAATTTCCTGTAAAGAGCTATGATCTGAATTCCATGTTTGTGCATTTCTGCACAAGCATTTTGCATCAGTGATACTTTAGTGGGTCGCTATGATATGCCGTATGCACCTCTGCTGCAAAATATCAAGCTACTGTATAGATGGCACATACATTCCTCTGTCATTTGGGAGTTCAAGATGTTCACTATTTGGTGCTTTCACTTTTTTTAATAAGAATCCTTTTTTCTCTTTTCTTTTTATATGTTTTGTTAAGAATTTTCTCTTAAATTACAAATGGAGCATATCTTATTTATCAAATCAAAATTTCTTAAGTGTGTATATAAAGAAAAAAATCATTCCCCCCTTCAAGGATCTCCATGTCTTGATGCTGCCTTCCTAACTCCAGCATATCCCCTCTCCTCTCAGATTTCCCCAATTGGATTCCGACTGGAAAAGTTTCCTTTCTCCACCTTAAAAGAGAAACCATGCATCACTAAGCTACAAAAAATGCTGGAAAAAGTTAAATGGGTACAAAGGAAAGGTGGAGTGTTGCACTTAGAGAAAAATAAACAAAAGTCTAGAAGTAAAAGTTATGGGAGAAGTGTGAGAGCATGGGATGAGAAATTGTGTGAGACCATTCACAACCATGAAAATACAGACAGTGGAAGGAACGGATGGGAACCCTTAGAATAAGACCCTGTTTGGTGAGTGGCTGACATCATCTGGGTCTCATTGCTGCAAGGGTTGCTGATGTTGTTCTCCAAGATGGGCTCAGGGGCAGTGGGGAGTATGTACTCTAGATAACACAAGTGTAGGATGCATGCATTGGGGAAGGCAGTGTTGGCGTAGCTTCTCTGATTCGAAAGCTACGCAAAAACGAAAAACCAAGAGATTCTTCCCCAAAAAAGTTATTGTCTTTCATAGTCTTCTTTATCAATAGGTTTCTGGGCATTCAATAGTCGTGTGGAAACACTGTAATCCAATCTTTGTTGTAGCTGGTGTTGATATGAACCAGAACTCTGGGAGTGGACAAGTTTGTGGTCCTGTTTTGTTCTTGCTGATCATTTATTTGGGTTTTCCTCTTCTGCCTCCTGGTGGCTAAACATGCCTACTGCATTAACTTTGGTCAGCAAATAAAGAAGAGTGCTCACATCGGATGCATGCTCTGTCATTGGGACTTCAGAGGCACGTGGGAGCAGATATAGAAAGCACTACAGTGGGATCAAGACTCTAATGTGGAAGGTGTCATTTGTGTGAAGGTTGATATGAACAGCAGAGCCAAGAGGATCCTTTGTTCTGAGGTGACAGAAGGCCATGGGGGAAAGTAAACTGCAGCAAATGGAAATGAAGAGAGATGTGAAGGGATTTTTTGGGTGAAGAAAATTAGGAGAAGGGTGGAGAGAAGGTACAAAAGACTTTTTTCTTTCAATCTCAAATGCACAAAATTATTGACTAGCATGTGCTGTGCTATGCAGAATCTCCATGACCTCCTTATGGATGATTCAGAATTTCTTAAAAGAAGTTGGAATTTTATTTTTGCATGGCTAGCCATTTTTGGAAATCACAATGTTAAGACACACTTGATAGAAGAATCTATTCAATAAATACATAATTTCCAGCTAATTAATTCCAGAGTGTCATGTCAGCTTGAGTTAATAATCACACAGGATATACTTAAAAAATGTTCTCTCCCAGAAATTTTTACATTCAAAACAGAGTCTCTTAGGAGTATTAATTCTAAAAGAAACAAACCACTCTCTCCCCTTTGTATGTTTTCTTCATTTTGCTTCTCACATAGCGTATGAAGGGTTGAGCATTTTTAGTTGATTAGGATAAGGTGGCCTCTGTCTTCCTGGGAAAAAGGGGCATGAGCATCATTGCAAATGAAAAGAAGGTCATTGGGTATTTGAGTGTTGGGAGAAGCTGGAAAGTTCCAGGTGGAAGCATTGACATTGAGAGCCAAGATACATTAGGCTTGATTGGAGTGGGCTGGGAATTAAGATTCTGGCGATAATTCTGTCACAGAAATGTTTTTTAAACAGTCCCTGAAGGATAAATACCTGCATGCTTCCTATGTGCCTTTCCTTCCTTCCCTAGATATGTTTGAGGAAATTAGGCCTTTCAAGTGAGATATTGGAGAAATGTCTGAAAGGCAATCGGAATGGGAAGTTTAAAGACTGCTGAGGCTGAAACACTCCATGACTATACACATTCTAGCCTGTAGATCTTTTTTTTTCTTGTGACATTCACCTGCAAACCTGTAATAGCCTGCTTTATAAGAAACATGAAATGAATGTGCACGTGTGTACATGGCAGGAGTGGTACCACGAGGGGCATAGTCTCTCTTCTAGTATAACTCTCCTAGTTTTGCCTAATGACACACCAATAAGTCACTGACTTTATGAAAAGGAATGCTAGAAGATGCAAGGTGCAGATTCAAAGTGACTTTCTTAGGGAGCAAAAGGTAACCCAGAAATGGCAGATACATTGTGCATTTAGCAAGATAAATGTATTTTTCAAATAAAATCGCATTGTAACATATTTATTGGGTAAGTCTGATCTAATGGGTAGGGTAATTTTCCTTTGATTAAAAAGAAATAGCTTTTTTGAATGAAGTGTGCAATTCCCAGCATAAAAAATCAGATATATTTTAGAACACTAAATGCCACACTCCTTTGCTGCTATAGCCATGAGGCATGGATGAGCTAGGGTCTTTCCGTAGATAAATCAATTGCAGGGCTCTGTTGATTCTGCTAATTATCTGAGATGGCATGCACTGATTTTCATTGCATTCAGTACAACGGCTTTTATTATAGGTTCAGATATTACGGAAAGAAGGTTGTGTCCTATGAAATGGGTATTGTCACAAACAGGTGGGTAGGATTGTAAAGATACACGTTTTAGTATAGACATAAGCATTAGATGATCTCGCACAGAAACACTCTGAATTCTATCCAATAAAACTAAGATTTGTACCAGAGTTGGGAAAACAATTTTGGAATGAGGAAATGTTTCCAGTTTGGATTGAGAAATGTTTTCTATCATTCAAAGTGATCCATGTCTCTTTACTAACGTATCTGGATAACTGTTTAGATGACCCAGTTATTCTTTTTTCTTAGAGATCTGACATATATATATCTATATATATTCTATTCTATGCCGTTTGAACACATGGAGGACACCTCACCAGAGTGTCTCTTTCAATATGTTTCTGAATCTCTAAGAATCCTTTCCCCTCGTTGCTATCCCCTTCTCCCTCCTAAATATAAACTTATAATATCATTTAGAAATATCATTCATCCTTTCCCTTAGTAGTGCTTTGCTAAATCCATGCATAGGATTTCACATCTTTACAAAAAAGAATCTTGAGCAAATGGCCTCATTACTTCCACATCTCTTTTTTTCCACAGTGCTCATTTTTTTAGTTATACCTTGTCTATTTCTTCCCTTCTCATGTCTGGTTAACCAACTTCCTCCCTTTTAATCATATTTCTTCAAAACTGTTCTCTCAAGGGCCACTCATATGTCATAAGCTTTTTCTCTGCTGCCCCAAATACTTTTAATGGCCTTTACTGCATCCTTATCTTTCTTAATCTTCTTGGAATCCTTAACATGTAAATGACCTATTGGGTTTGTCTCCACTCCTACTTTTCATTGTCTGTCTGCTTTATTTAACACAGCTTATATACAATGTACACATTTAAAGTGTACAATTCAATGGCTTTTAGTCTAGTCACAAAGTGGCTGCCATCAACGCCATTTAATGTTTGAACATTATCATCACTCCAAAGAAAAACTCCATATCTATTCCTCTGGCCCCCCAGACTTACGCAACTACTAATCTACTTTCTGTCTCTATGGATTTGCCTTTTCTGGGCATTACATGTAAATGGAGTCATACAATATGTGGTCTTTTGTGTCTGACTTTTTTCACTGAGTATTATGTTTTCAAAGTCTATCCATGTTGTAGCATATATCAGTACTTTGTTAATCTTTATGACCAGGTAATACTCCATTGTATGGATATAACATGTTTTGTTTATCCATCCATCTTTTTTGTGTGCATGTGAGGAAGATTAGCCCTGAGCCAACACCCGATGCCAATCCTCCTCTTTTTGCTGAGGAAGATTGGCCCTGGGCTAACATCTGTGTCGATCTTCCTCTACTTTATATGGGACACTGACACAGAATGGCTTGACAAGCAGTACGTTGGTGTGCGCCCGGGATCCGAACCCCGGGCCGCCGAAGCGGAGCGTGTGCACTTAACTGCTATGCCACCGGGCCAGCCCCTATCCATTCATCTTTTGATGGGCATTTGGATGTTTCCACTTTTTAGATACAGTAATGCACCATATAACTACACTTCGGTCAACAATGGACCACATATACAACAGTTGTCCCATAAGATTAGTACCATACAGCCTAGGTGTGTAGTAGGCTATACCATCTAGGTTTGTGTAAGTACACGCTATGCTGTTCAAACAATGACAAAATCACCTAACAACACATTTCTCAGAATGTATCCCTATCGTTAAGAAATGTATCACTGTATTATGAATAATGGTGCTATGAACATTCATGTACAAGTTTTTGTGTGGATACATGTTTTCACTTTTCTTGAATATATACCCAGGAATGGAAATTCTGGGTCATATTATAACTCTGTGTAACCATTTGAGTAACTTTCAAATTCTTTCCTAAAGTGGCTGCACTGTTTTCTAGTTCTACCAGCATAAAGGCTCTAATTTCCCCACATCCTCACCAACACGTGTTCTTGTCCATCTTTTTAACTATAGCCATCCCAGTGGGTATAACGTAGTGTCATATTTGATGTGCATTTCCCTGGTTACTACTGATGTTGAGCACCTTTTCATGTGCTTACTGGCCATTTGTCTATCTTCCTCAGAGAAATGTCTGTTCAGATCTTTGCCCATATTTTATTGGGGTATTTATCTTTTTAGTATTGAGTTATAAGAGTTTTTTTTTTTTTAAACATGTTGTGGATACATGTTCCTTATCAGATATAGGATTTGCAAATATCTACTCCCATTTTGTTTTTTCCCCCACTTTTTTGGTGGTACCCTTTGAAGCACAAATGTTTTTAATTTTGATAAGGTTCAATTTATCTATTTTTTCTTTTTTTCTTTTTGCTCTTTTTGTGGTGTGTAAAAAGTCTTTGTGTAACCCAAGGCCACATCAATTTGTGCCTATATTTGTTTCTCAGAGTTATATAGTGTCAGATCTTATTTTAGACCTGATCCATTTTGAGTTCACTTTTTAAAAATATATTATCACGTGGTTTTTGTCCTTTTTCCTATTGATATATTTCATTAATCAGTTTCTGAATATTAAACTAACCTTGAATGCTAGAATAAATCCCACTTGGTGATGGTAATGATCCTTTTTATATACTGCTGGATTTGGTTTGCTAGTATTTTTTTGAGGACTTTTACATCTACATTCATAAAAAGATGAATGCATAGAGCTCTTTTCTGGTGATGTCTTTGTCAGGTTTAGGTATCAGAGTACTTACTACTCTCCTCACAGAATGAGTAGGAAGTGTTTTCTCATCTTCTATATTTTTTTAAAGAGTGTGTGGAGGATTGGTGTTAATTTGCCTTTGAGCAATCAGTAGGATTCACCACTGAAGCCATCCAGGCCTGGGATTTTCTTTGAGGAAAGTGTTTTCATTA